AGAAATATTGATTCAACATGGGGGAGAAATGAAGGAAAACAGTTGAATCCCCAAGAAAATATCCAGGGCTACCAGGCCTTTTGGATCAAAGATTGGTTGACACTGTGAGTGACCAGGAAACTTGAGCAGCACTAACCAGAATAGTTTCCTAACATGCTCTGCATGGGTGTATTTGTGTTGATCCACAGCCTGGCATGAGCCACACATGCCTGTTCAGCACTAGAAATGTGCACTGTGTAATCAAGGAACTAAATTACTAATTTTAACTTAGATTAGCAATGTATTTTTTACATTGAATGTTTTAGCAGGGCAATTTTAGGGTTACTCAGTACTATGTTCTGCAACAGAAAATTGCTAGAGACTAACCAAGGGTCTGATCCACACTCTGCACCAGGCTGGAAGGTACTTCAGTGGAGGCACACACATCACATGCCTGGATCTTGCCTGCAAATGGATGTAGCTATTTAAAAATTCATACTTGGAATATATGCAAGGGCTTCTCTATTGCTGTGTGAACCTAAAAGTTTGCCATCACCTGAACTGTTTCCCTCTGTCTCTGGTCAAGCAGCCCCACTGGAGAGGAGTAATCCTGCCAAGACAGTCACAGCATCACTACCTGACCATGACCAAGGTCAGGATGTCCTGCTACATTCAATGTGATGCTTGTCTGCTATCTACGGGTTGTACCTTAACCTTGTACTTTGTAGAATTTCAGAAGCATGGGCCCAGGGCATTTTTACACTTGATTTTAGTGTCATACAGAGAGGTATTGTAAAGAAAAACATAAAATGCACTTAATTTGATGAAGAAAAATCAATAGCTTTTCACAAAATAAATTAGAGAACATTAATTGAAATATACTCTGTATTATGTTTTTAAACTTATGTCAACAAAATTTATAAATAAAACACTGTCTTAAAAAGAAGCAACAAACAAATTAAGACAAAAATTTACTTTAAATGACATTTTTCCTGGCAGAATAAATGACATAAATTGCCAAATTGGGATTTTGTTATTTTAAAACAACAAAACAGATAATTTCAGGGAAATTTTTGAACTTCATTTCCTGTGCTGCTCCTCTCTACCTGTCTGTCTGTCACTCTCTCTCTCTCCCTCTCTCTCTCTCTCTCTCTCTCTCTATATATATATATATATATATATATATATATATGTATGTATATATAATTTTATGTATATAAATAATTTTGGGATATATATATATAATTTTGGGGTTTTTTATCATCTAAGATAAACCATCTGATACTTAAGCTTGTATGTTCAATGTATTTTACTTATTATTCTGGTCTTAAATTGTGTTCATTGCCTACAAATTGTGTTTCTTTCTGGTAGAGCTCTACTCCATTGCACATAGATAGCACATTTTCTTTTTCCAATTGTTTGTTGATAAACAAATACATTGTTTCCAAGACCTAGCTACTATCAGTGTGGCACTACAAACATGGATGCATACATATCCGTGAATTATGATGAGTTTAACTCATTTGAAAGAGGCCTAGAAAGAAGACAGCTGGGTCAAATGGAATAGCACGGAATGGCAGCACTGATGTTGGAGCAACAAAACTGTTCTACTTTGCTGGTGGGAATGTACACCAGTGCCACCATGAGGGAAATGAGTGTGGAGATTCCCAGCGAGTCTGGCCGCGGAGTCTCTTCACTGTTAGTTATGAAGCTGACACTGCATCCATCACTAGGCCAAAACAGTTTGAACTCATATGTGTGAATTCTTGCATAAGAAACAGAAGGAGTTAATGGGATTAAAAAGCAAAATAGTTATTGTAAAACTTAGGGGAGGAAACCCCTGTGAGGGAAAGGTGGAAACTATTGTTAATTTTTTACTGTTTTGTCCTGAACTCTTACACTGTTTCCACAATTATGTTAGGTTTGCCCTCGTTCTGTCTTGTTTTGTTAAATTTTACTCTGCTTTATGGTATGGGCAGCTATTATGAACATAATGGGATGTACTATGGAAATCAAGATTGGTTTCCTATTTTCTTGTTATGAAGTATTATAAGGCTTTCATTTGCTTGTTTAATTGGTGCTATTGTGTTTTGTTTTGTTTCATTTTATTGTGTATGATGGTATGAACAGCTATTTTGAAGAAAATGAGACAGTCTGGTTGCCATTGCTGGTTTCCTATCATCTTGTTTTGAAGGCCTGTCATGCTTTTGTTCTTTTGTTTTGATTGGTTCTATTCTGCTGTGTTTCAATTGATTTTATTATGTGTGATAGTATGGGCAATATTTTGAAGAAAATGAGATATAGTTACCATTGTTCTTTTCTTATTATGTGATTTGAAATTATGTACTGCGTTCATTCTTTTGATTGCTTTTATATCATTTTGTTATGTTTGATATTATTGTATGTGAAAGTATGGTCAACTATTTTGAAGAAAACAAGAGATATTATGGTATCTCCGGTTGATATCCTGTTGTTTTAAAGTCTTTTATTGCTTGCATTTTTCTGTTCTGATTTTCTTTTTTTTAAAGTTGGTAATTATTCTCTTTAAATTCAAAAAAAAAATAAGAAGAAAAGAAATCTGCTACTGTGAAAAGATACAGGATTATTACATATGAAGAGAGTGAATTCCTCCACTTTATTCCAGGTTTGAAAATCTTGATATACTATCCTTTTCTGATATTTAATACATTGCATGCTGAAACACCTAAGGCTGCCTATCATACAAGTATTTTAATAAATACTTGTTTTTCTTTCTTCAACTCTGGGACTCTGGATTAGGTGAAACATGAAAACTGGGTATATTCAAGCACCCAAGCGTTAATTGTAGCTGAGAAAAAAGATCTATAGTGGGTCAGCTGTGGGATTCCTGTAACCAGCAACCCAAGCCCCTACTCTCCAATCATGTTCCTGGGGACCAAGTGCAGACCCTCTGAGCCTGAATTTAGGGAGAGCAGGGAGGCCCTGAGGAGAGGCCAGCTCAGCAAACCCTGTATGCTACAGGAGGGCAGATGCTGGGCACTATGTCACCCTCTAACTATTAAAAATGTCTCCTTTTTCTTTCACTATGAGAGTGAGTGGGCATCTTATTAACCCAGGCACCAGCTTCTCTGTCTGTATCTCCAGGAAAGCATGTCCATTTATGGTCAAGCTAGTGCCAATACACAGTGTGTAGGAAGTTGACTCTAGATAAACTTGGCACAAATTTGAACACCTTCTACCTTATACACTGCTGTTCCCTGAGGATCTGGATCAGGTTCAATGGCGAGAACACATATCCAGCTGTGCCTGCAGCACCAGGATCCCCGTATGACTACTGTCAAACTCTCTGTAATGCCAATTGTGGCTTCTAGACTCAGGCACTTCAATTCACTCTCACATCTTTTGCTTTCTGTATTAGGACCTCAACCACAATGGGACTTGCTTGCCATTGACCTTTTGGATCCAATTTCAGACACAGGAACCTCCACATGGAAAGCAGACCCCTTCATCTGGTTCCATGTACATCTCCCCCACAGGCCTACCTTCCCTGTCATTCTGCTGACTTCCACCAGCCATATCTGTGCCTCCTTGCACACTCTCAATCTAAAAAATGCAGCTCAGCAATCACAGAAGGCAAAGCAGAGGACCTGGAATGCACATTCTCCTGACAGATGCAGATATGTCCAGTGTGTAAGCACCTACGTTCTCTGAACTTGCAGAAGGAAAATCACAGCTTTTCTCAATCCTTAATGCAAACTGTTATGTGACCTTCAGTGCATGACTGCAGATGAGAATATTTCTCAGTATATTTGTATATGGAAAACTGATTATTCTTCACTTGTCATTAAGAATCTTAGTGTTCAATTGACCATTACTTCAGAACAATGTGTATTCAGGTTACATCCATAGGTCAGTCATGATCTTGAAAAAATTTCCTGTATCTTCAGAAAATAGTACGTAGTACTGCACAATCTTGGTTAATTCAATTCAAAGACATAATAACTTCCTTAAATAGGTAGCAGCAAGCTATGTATTTGGGTGTGACTTCCCATAAGTTTTTTCAGAGCATGGATGATGGAACAGGCAGATCATCTAACACCTTGCACACCTGAAGCAGAAAGACTTCAAGTTCAGTCCCAGACTTGGGCGGGTTAGGAAGAGGAACGGGTAGGCATGAACCTCTATATGAAGTCTCTAGAATCAATTCCCACTGGCTGGGATGGGATAAAGTGAAGGAGAAAGAGAAACACACGCACACACACACTCACACACACACACACAGAGAGAGAGAGAGAGAGAGAGAGAGAGAGAGAGAGAGAGAGAGAGAGAGAAATGAGAGAGAGAGAGAGAGAGACAGAAACAGAGACAGAGTCAGTGACAGAGACAGAGAGACAGAGACAGAGAGAGACAGAGAGAAAGACTCAGAAATGAAATGAGGGAGACATACAGGAAAATATGGAGACAGGGAGAGTCTGGGAGGAAGAGAGAGAAAGAAAATGATGGGGAAGAGGAAGAAAGGGAGAGAGAAAGAGGACAGAAGGCAAAGAGAGGAGACATGGAGAAAAGAGGAAAACAGAGCAGAGAGAGAGAGGGACAAAGGGAAAGGGGAATAGAAACAAAGAAAAGGAGAATGGGAGAAGAGTGAGAGGGGAAAAGGTGAGAAAGACAGAGAAGCAGAGTCAGAGAGAGAAAGAGAGAGCTGCTACTTTGTGAGATGAATCTCAGCAGCTCCTGCAATCCCACAATCCATTCTCTCCCCTGTGCTCAGCTGTGTCCTCTCCTCAATCAGCAGAACCACTGTCATGTCAGTGCCTCCAGCACTGCAGGAAAGACAGAGATTTAGTGTACACTGGAACCTCCCTGACCATTCTGCCAAAACCTCCCTGTGAACTTCAAAGACTGTTTACATCGGAGAAATGCTATCAGGAGGAGGGAACATTAGGAGGAGCAGCTGGGGAAGCCCAGCCTCACAATGAGGCTTCCCTGGGAGGTTTCTGCCATGTCTTGTATCACTGGGGGGGGGCAGCACTCTGAAGACAGTATTAAGTTGCAACATCCTCAGGCTCCAGGCTGCTGATGGTGATAGTGTAATCTGCCCCAGATCCACTGCCACTGAATCTGGATGGGACCCCAGGTTGCAGAAAGATTGCAGAATAGATCAGGAGTTCAGGAGCTTTCCCTGGTTCCTGATAATACCAATTTAGAGCATTATAAATGTCCTGACTGGCTCTGCAAGTGATGGTTACTCTGTCTCCAGGAGACATAGACAGGGAGGATGGAGACTGGGTCATCTGGATGTCACACCTGGTTCCTGACATTGGAGACATAAACAGAAATATCCACAGGATTATGTTTTAAGAAGTCTTCCATGAAATTCAGTTTCCCTGAACACACTGTGCTGAGGAAATCTCCAATGCTGCCCATCCTTACCTGGCAGCCAGAGCACCAAAAGCCCCAGGAGCTGAGCAGTGACCCTCATGTTCATGCTGTGTGTTGACTGGGACTGAATCCTGACCAGGTTGTAAGCAGCCTGTTAAAAAGTCTGAAGGCAGTGGGCTGTGTCCTGGGGACATGCAAATCAGCAGGTGTTGGGCATGGTTGGGCACAGTTGCAGGGCTGATTCACCTCAGTAACTCAGCTCAGGCCCAGTGTACCCAGATGTCCAGGTCAGACCATATTAATGAAAGTGTTTTTGCCAATTACATGTTTCCTCCTGGGGGCGAATTGTTAAAGAATAGCTTTGAGAGTTTAAATATTGAAGTGAACAGACAGAGTACATGGAATAATGTCTCTATGTTTTCTCTGTGACAGTGAACTATCATCTCCTTCTTTATAAAGACCACATAGTAAAATCTAAGAAATTGAGAATGTTGTGCATTTTTTAGCCCCCAAAATTTCTCACTGGCCAAAAGTTTGAAATTCCATCACAGCATCATTTTGAATTTGAAGTTTATTTCTATAAATTTCTATACATAAAATTATTCTGAATATTTATCAAAACCCTGTGCCTAGTTTTAGCAATAGTATTCGGAGCCCTCTTGAAGACAGTCAGGCAGCATACTGCTACCAATTTGCACCCTGCTGCTGCTGCGGTGAGAGAGGCATCCTCAGCCATGAAGCTGCAGTTTGTGAGGGACTCAGGGCTGGGTGCCACTGCCACTGCCCCATGATGGGACCCTTGGACCAGACTTGGAAATTAGGTCACCGAAGAGCTCCAAATGCCAGTTTTTCTTTTCAACCCACTTTCCTTAGGTTTTTCTGTAAGAGACCTTGTCACTGTCACTGGCCCAGAAGATGACAGTGTATTGTCTGGGGGCAAAATCTCAGCTACACCACATGTGGCTGTTGAGGAGGATGCCTCCAGGTTTTGTGCTTTACTGACACAGTGACAATCTGTTTATTGAACTTACTTTACTCCAAAAGTGTGTTCCAACAACAAAAACTTCGAGACTGGAACATATGTTCCCTGTAAATAAAATGCAGAACCAATTATTTGGTTCTGAGGCCCAAAAAATGGAACTATAGGGAAAAATTAATTTTCTAGAACTATAAAAAACAGCACAATTTTTTGAACACTATTATGGTTTCCACAGCTTTTTCTAAACTTCAGTACTAGAGCCATGGGTAGGAAAGTTTATGCAAGTAATCTCACTGCGTTATAAAAGCACAATGAGCTATGTTGTAATGTGACAAGGCAGGCCCTGCATGGCTGGTTGAGTGTGGAGTGCTGGGTAGGTGGCTGAGATTACACTGCAGGGTCACTCTTTGTATCCCTGGAGACAGTGGATTTGTGACTCACTCTTGGCCCATACAGGTTTTTTCAAGTTGAAATTTGGTTCTGTTATGAAGCAAAATTCCCAACACTGAGGAGATATTTTTCAGACTTGGGAACTGGGATATCTGGAAGCTGTTGTTTAAACAGTCCCACAATGGAGGTGTCACTGTCTAAGCATTCAAAGCACACAGTATCCTCATCACAGTTCTTGCTGTCTTTCTCTTACTTGTTGTGTTTGCATTTTCATTTGTGGTGTGATATTTGTAATACTTTTTCATTTCATATTTGACTCAAGTGCTTAAAACAAATGTGTTGGGCTTAGGGGTTGGAGAAAATGGCGGCTTGCTAGGGGATCGGGCGGAGAGTCTCTCCGGAGAAATCATATTAGAAGCTAGAATATGACAACATGGAGAGGGCCAGACAATTGGATAATGATTCTTATTACCCAAGACAGTGCATCTAGAGGATTTAAAGTCCTGCTGAGACTATGAAGGCTGATAACGGGAGGCTGCAAATCCCGTGCCTTTAAATCAACAAACTGACCCGTGGACCCAACAGGAAAAGCTGTGTTGGCTTTTGGTGACTGCTGGAAACTGAGACCTGGGACCCCGAGAGGCAGCCAGGACTGTCCCACTGCACCAGAGGAGATCGTGAAAGGCTCTGGAGCTCCAAAGCCAAATGCTGAGCAGATTTCTGGCCATTCCGCACTGTGCCGGGAGTGCATGCTGTGCAGACTTCTGACTGTTCTGCGCTGTGCCAGGAGGGCAGGAAAGTGGGCGGCGTGGTGTGCAGTGGACCCGGGAGGAAGACCTTCGTTGGACCCTGGTGAGTACCGGGGACCCCACGGCTGCTGGGGTTGGCCAGAGAACATCTTGGAACTGGGCAGTGCCTGCCACCATGGGGACATCAATAACACAGAGTCTGGTGCAGCCATCTTAGAGTTGGGCAGAACCTACAGCTCGGTGGCATCACTGAGTCCCCCTGTAGGGAGGGCTGGTGGAAGACATCTTGAAATTGGGCAGAGCCTGAGTGCGTGCTGGCTTCAGCGTCATACAGAGAACTAGTGGGAGACATCTTGGATTTGGGCAGATCTGCTGTTCTGGTGCTCCTGTCACTGAGAGGTCTGGAAGAGAACAGCTGGGATTTGGGCAGAACCCTGTACCATAGTGACATTAGTCAGCTGCTTCTGGTACAAAGAGAACTGGCAGGAGCTACTGGAGCTAAACCAAGCCTCTGCTTGGGGCCCAATAAGCAGATACAAAATAGTCACAACTTAGTGACATCCAGAAAGTACAGCCTAATTTACAGATTGACTGGCGCAGAGGCTGGAGACTAGCCTGTACTGCCCCTGCATCCCAGCCTACCCTAGATAACAGCAAGTTGGGGAGGACAGCAAAAACTCAAGTCAGCACGCTTCTGAAAGGCCCTAAGCAATTCAGAGAGGGCCAGAGAACCCCAGGACAGTCTGAAAGAAACCAGAAACATGGCAAGACATAAAATAAAAAAAAAAATCTCCAGCTGCCCAACATGAGAAAATAAGCCCAGGAGAAGTAAATACTGAAGAGAACACGCACAGTAACCATCCATTGCTCGACACAGCATCAGCCAAAATTAAAAAAGTACCTTTATGATCTCATAGATGAATGTAAAGCTGTACTTCTGATCCAAGTGAGGCAAGATATAAAGATATTAATTAAAGAAATGACAAGCCCCGCCCAAGAGAACACAGATGGAAGAAATGAGGAAATCAGAAAAGAAAGAGAAACTTCTGGAGAAGAATTTAAACATAACTTCGAATACATGAAGCAGATCCAAAGAGAATACCAGGAAACTAAAAACTCCATTGAACACTGGCAAAATGCCTTGACAGAAACTAAAGACAGCCTTCTGAAACTTGAAGAGAGATTTATGGCATATGATCATGAAAGAAAAAGTCTCTTAAAAATAACAAGGAACCAGAAAGAAGCAATTCAAAAACTAGAAGATGACAAAAAGATACATAACTTAAGAATAAAGAATGTGAGTCTTACTATGACTGATCTTAATTGAATCTGAATCATAAGACTATGGGTTGGCTTTGGCTGATTTTATTTGAAATTGGTATGCTTGTTAGTATCAACCCTAAAAGTAGAGACAACTACTCTGAGGATGACAAGATGTAAAGGATATCCATACTGGTATTAATTAGTAACAGCTCTCAAATCCTACAATGCTATCAAAGTTAAGTTTTTATAAAAATAGGTGATACTATATTTAACTATAATAAGCCAGTGTTGTGGTCAAATCTATTGAAAATAACAAGAGAAAACATAGTAACTACAGAAGATCATCTATATTGTGTTCTTATATGTCTTATCCATGGCATGTTTTTCTAGGAAATTGTTTTGCTGTCTTTCTATGACTTGGTTTTCCCTATAACAAAGAGAGGATAGATATATATGTAGAAATTCACATAAATTCTAGCAATACTATTGTTCACTGATTAGAATGACACTGGACTGGTTTCTTGAGTTCAATTTTAGCATATGTAGAGATGGGGACAGCTATCACAAAGAGAATGAGAGTTGCGATGGTAGTTACCATTGTCTTCCCTAATTTGGAACTTGAGGACCTAAAAAGCCTCCAATGATTTGGTTAGTTCTATAATATGCAATAAGTATATAAAGTGGGTGAAGATGGGGACAACTATTTGTAAGAAACTAGAGACAGATAGACAATGAAGATCTCCAGTGGGCTCGCTTTGAAATCTGTATTTCTTTAAATTGTTTTTTTAACTGCTTTGTTCTCTTTTGATATGTTTAATCTTACTCTCTTTGAGATGTAAAACAAATGTGTAGGACTGGTAACCATATTACTGAGCTTTTGTTCGATCATAGAGCAGAATGGATTGTAGTGTCACTTTTTGGATGTCATTCTAAATACTTTAATTCTATAACATAAACAGCTATTTCTAAGATGACAATGTGTAACTTATCTACCAGCGATTTCTTACCTTGTTTTTCTGTAAGTTTGTATTATTTCTACCCTTTTTTTATCTCCATGTATTTTTTTGTTTCCTTTTCTTTAAATAAAAAATAAATAAATAAATAAATAAATAAATAAATAAAACAAATGTGTTATTTTAGTTCCTCATATCCAGGAACTTATCAGTTAGTCTTCTACTTTTGCTTTGCAAAATAGTCCTCAGAACAGTTTGAGTAACATTGATCTTCGGAAACTTGATAAGACTTGTTTGGGCTTTAATATGGTGACAATTTTCCAAGAGCAGGACAGGAAAAAAAAAATGTGTTCCCTGCTGTAGCTGGTGACAGGTTCTGTTCAGGCCTGTTTGTTTTAACCAGTGTGCAGTGCTGTTGAAGAACTCCATTTTTTCTTCACTCATTGATGCTTGTGTCTTCTATGCACCGTTGAAAATTAAATGCTGACTTCTCCTCTGATTCTATTCCATCGTCTGGACAGACTTTTCTAAAATATATAGATCTAATGCATACATATGTACGTGTGTGTGTGTGTGTGTGTGTGTGTGTGTGTGTGTGTGTGTTTATGTATATATACACATATATGGATATGTGTGTGTTTAAAATTTGTAATGTTTGATAAGTGGATTCATACTTTAGTAGTCATTAAATCTTGGTGAATCAAGACATTTTCACAATAATTTTCTTGTATCATGTCAGGATACTCTGGAGTGATATTTCTAAAATCTATAG